GCTGTGCTTTGGCCCTTCTAATTTTCTCCTGTGCAGCCTCATGGTAGCCCTGTAGTCCTCCTGAGATGCCTGCCCCTTTTTCCATTTTCCCTGCAAGTGCTCATCTGTCAAGTACTGTGGAAAGCACTGTTTAAACTGATTTTAAACTTGCTATTTAAGTCTGTTACTGATAGCAGACACAGTTCACACAAGTGAAAAGCTATCATCTTAAATTCTTACTCTAGCAAATGTAGTAGTTCCTGTGACAGCACGTGCAGTAGTACCATGTATTGTCTGGCCCACCTTACTGTAAAATGTCTCAGATTTGTAGGTTGCTCAAGGTCTTGTGTTTTTCCCTTCTATTAGGAAGACTGGACTGATGATGATCTTGCGGACTCGGTGTAACCTTGAAAGAAGATCAAATCCTACCTCTGCACAAACCACCTCTTGGTGTTGGGTGTGAACCTGTCTGCCACAGGTTCCTTACTCTGTATCATGAGGTATTTATTAGTTACTTTTGCAATAAAGCATTTGACTTTGCAGAAATAAGTAATTGTAGTTCCATTAAACACTCATCCCTTCATGGGCAAACATGAATAAAAAACGTCTGCTTTAAGAAATATGTACATCACTCAGGGAAGAGGAGTTTTGGTTTGGGAAGGGTTTTGGCTCAGGAATAGCTACTGCCATACTGTAATCCTGCACTTGGATCAAACTGGGCATTCAGTGAACTGAATAAATGCAGGGAGGAGACATCTGGTAGCAGACCCATCTGTGCTTTAGAGCAGGATCTGCTGCCCTCTTCCCAACCTTGTCACTGAAGCAATTTAAAGAAAGCAGGTGTGCTCATTGGGAAGCTCCTCTCAAAAGAGGCTGCAGCAATGTATTTTACAATATAGAAAATAATAATCACACCTTTGACTTACTCTGCAGCTGTGATCTCAGATTAGGTTGCTTTGACTAACTCACCTGGGTGCAACTGAGAATAGTATTTTTAAACTCTTCCTAAGTATTTAAATGTCTTCCAAATCTGGAGCAAAGTCTATTTCCTTTTTGTACACTTTTAGAACATAAGTAGTTCTACAATACACAGATCTAAATGCAACTTTAAGACTTTCCTAGTTTCTTTACTGCATTTTGTATGTGCTAGGTAAATAGCCATCTAGATCTGTTCTCTTAACTTCTCTGTTTTTACCAGTTACACTACCTACACTCAGCCAGCTAAATAAAAAATAACCCACTTCATCTATGCTGTTTTTGACAAATCTTTCTACAACAGGGTCATCAGCTGAACACTGGCAACTATTGTGATTTCACTGCAGAAAGCCTGACATGCTTTACTTAATGCCTTCATAATCAAGTGGAGAGAATGAGACTTAAACTGTGTTAAAGCATATACTCAGGTTCTTCACTGGTTGAAAGCTGTAAACAGAGCATTGCAATAATTCATCACACAAGAAGTGTTATGAACTGGGATTGTGACTTGTGTGATCTAACAGTATACAGAGAGAATACAGAGAGAGAACTAAGTAGGGCACAAAAAAAGAGACTTAATTACCTTTTCCTCTGAGATACAGTTTGATACAAGCTTGGCAGCAACAGTGGTTTGATAAGATGATCTAGAAGGGTCTTATAAACAGGTTATGTCTGCATGAGGCTATATTAAGAGTACCACCTCTGTCTACTAGGTGTAGTACTTGTAACAGACACATGGGAGCTCTCAGCTACACACTGGGCACTCACCTCCCAGAACGCTGCCCCAATTGGAGCAGCACAGTGAGAGCCAACTGCACACCCAGAAGGACATGCACACTGTTACAGCAGTAGACCCAAAGTCTACAGTTCACTGTGACAGTGAATGGAAAAAGCAGTTCCAGTAGTAGATACAGTGTAGTTCTAGCGGTGTAACAGCTGTCTTCATGTTACACAGCTATTTATGTGATTCTCTCATTAGTCTTGTCAGTGAATCACAGCATCCTTTCACTCCTTACTGGATCACTGCCTAGAAAAGTTACACTAGTTATACTAGTTAGATAGGTGACCCTCTGAATCAACTGCTTATTTTACTTTAAACTGTTAAAAAATTAAAACATCTACTTTCTCACTCCATAAGAGACGTACAAATTAAGGCATATGGACAAGGTAATGCTGTTCTGAGGAGTCATGCTAAAAAAGTGGCACTGCATGAACATTTCAGTGCGTATCATGTGTGCAGACTGTAAGAAATTTCCACAGCAGCCAAAGTTAGCCAGTTTCCATAAAGATTTGATGTGCAGCTTGATTTATTTTAAAAACTTATTTTTCACTTATAAAAATAATATTTATGGCAGACTTACAGTACACAAAAGACAAAACAATACATATTTTATAAAATGGTTTAATGAATGCATGCATGTCTGATACAATGATCAATAAATTTACTGAATTCAAATTATTTGCCATTGTAAACATTTTACAAAAGCATTGTGATTTATCTGGATATACAGTTCTTGATGGCAGAACTATTCAGACTGAATCAGTGGCACATCAAAAAAATAAAGCCGACAAGACCCATTCTGCATATTCTCTTTTAACATGATTCCAGCAAGAGAAACAGCATGGTATAAAAAGTGTACAGTAAAGATTGTTTCTACCATAACATCAAATTCTGGAGACTGTGAATACAAGTTAAAGTGGTTGAAACAGTCGAAAGTCGTAATTATTGTAACCAGTCAGAAATTACAGTAAGAAATGTTATCCAGTTATATGTAGCTGTCAAAGCAACACATTTCTTTCCATGTCAGTTGATAATTCTTTTCCAATAAGACAGGAAAACTTTGGCAATCAGAGGTGCTGAAAATAATTTTCAAAGTTCAAGACACAGTCACAGCATTTTCTTCGTGGAAGGTGAACTGTCCACCAAGGCTCAGAGGTTGTGAAAACTGTTTCCAAGTGGAAAAAAGTGCAAATGTCCTGCACAGATAGCTTAAAAAGCTGCTGGTACAATCATTCACCAACAGAATCTTTGTTTTCTTTTTTGCATAGTTCACACATCACTGGGAATGTGACAGGGTGTGCTATTTTTGGCAAGAGCAAGAAGAAGGTGATAACTGGTGTGATTCGCCGTGTCAGGCATGCTGGATCCATGCAGAATTCAGGTAGAGGGCTGCTACCTGGTGTTATTAGACACTGAATACTGATTTTGTTTTTGTTGAAGCAGTTCAGTAATAGCCAGAAGCTTTTTAAGAACATGCTGCAGAAAGAGTCAGTAAAAACACACATTAGCAACTGGAAACAGGAAGCATTATCTGCATTAGCCTATCAGACCTGCTGCTAGGTAGTTTAAAATATATTAAGACAAAACAAAACAAAGGAAACAGCTGATTCCCTAGACATTACTTCAAAAGGGAAGTCTATGAGCTTTGCCTCTCCACCCATGGGTCTTTTTGCTGCTTTGTGGTAGAACAGGCTAAGGACGGTGCACAGCTAACGCACCGTTGGCGTTTGCTAGAGAAGTTTGCCATGTTTGTTTATTAAACGTACTGGCAAATTAGGAAGCAAAAATGAGATAGCTAGCTATTGGTAACAAAAGTAAATTTAGTTCTCAAATAAAAAAACCCCAAGATCCTGAAACTAACAACCCAGGGAGTCTGTCAGGAGATAGTAATTCTGTGGGTTTAGGCTTCCTCTAGAAACCAAAACTTCCTCTGGAAATGTGGAAAGAAAATCTCTTTGATTTTGTTGCATGAAGAAACAAAACCATGGACTAAGTATTTACCTTTAGAGCTAAAACCTCCTGGTGGAATGCACATATTTTAACATGTTTATCACTCATTCTGCTAGCCAGAAATACTACAAAAGCATCCTGATGCTAAGGAGTAACTCAAGGCATACTGATTTGTTAGTTAACCGTTGATCAATGCTGCTCACCTGCATTACACCCCGCTCGTTACTGAGTGTCCGGAGTTCATCTGAGTGTGCCACACATATCTCGTGCAAGGCTGCCAGGTCACGAGAGAGGTCAGTTCTCGAGTGCTCTGTAGTGTCGGGAAGCTCAGGAACGTTCTTCAACAAAAAAAAACATCAGAGCAGATTTAGGATGCCGAGTACCCGGGCACACAGGAAGATAAACTGCAGCTCTGCCAACGCACTTGTTTTATTCTCCAGTGTCAGAATTCCCAGCTGAGTCTCTAGTCCATCTTTCCATTATGAGTTACTGATTTCCTCCTCTCTGCAAGCATGTGTTTTATCAGCATACTGCAATTTCTGCTCCTGCAGGCTGTTACTAAAAGGTTTGGTATTGCTACACTGCCATTGAGCTGACCAGAAAGCTGCTGCATATAGACTCATACCCTTTCCCTAAAGGAGGGGGAATCCATCCATCGCTGCTTTTTCCCCATTTAAATGGGAGAATAGCAGCAACAACAACAACAACAAAAATCAGCAAAATCTGTAACTATCAAGTAACTCTGGTCATAAAACAGTGCTATTAAAACAGCAGATTAACTCAACAGTTATTTTCAAACCAAGAGTCTTCAGAAACTTCATGCAAAATCTGTCATTTAAAGAAAACTGATGTATTGTAATATACAGAAGTTGCAGTTTAACCAGGGAAAGGTGACCTATGGCAGCCTACCCAAATGCCACACTCGTTTTGGTATCTTATCAAAATATTCTGAGATACATTCTAAGGTCACTTTTAAGGGATCAATTTAGGAAGTTTAGCACATTTTTTTAATCTTGTTTTTTTAAAGTGAATTCTTGGTTTAAAAATACAAATATAGCACACGAGGTCCTACCTCCAGCAACAGCTATCACACCCAAAACAGTAACAGTTTGAAAGAATACAGTAACTGAGTTCACTTGCAAACTAGAATGCATGCAGTGGCACGTTTGGTAATGCATAACTGAAATTCAAACAATATTTTTAAAAGCAAAAAATAATTTTCGTCTCTGGTGAACACCATTTGACATATATAAAAAATTTTGGTTTAAAACATACTTGTAAAGATTGGCATTTTTTTGGCAAAATTTCTAATACTCATAGCTATAAAATCTATTTGATCTTCTCACATCTACAGAGACAGTGAATGAAGCCTAACATGGCATTTGATGGTTTTAATTCCGTATGACAGGCCAGCAATCTGCAGTTTCTAAACATGCACCAAAAAATTACTCAGTTAAAAGCATTCACAGTTGTGTGAGCGCTGATGCATTTTTGAGCTAATTCAGAGAAAGTGTAAAGAATTTTCTTTTATGATACTACTATGTAACTTCCAGTAAAGTTTCTTTAACCACTTACCCCAAGTTCATCCAAGAACATGATCATGCGATGTTTGTTGCTCTTGATGAATGGATTTACCCCTTCCATGTATGGCTCCTAGTAATTTATAAAAGTATTCATTAGAACAAATCAATGCCAAGATAATTGTCATGCCTGAAGCGAAGGCAGTGCAGTCAGACAAATGACAATGCAAACCAAACTTGTCATCTGGAGTGGGTTCATTTTGTCAAGTGAATTTCTAATGTCTGGTGTGCAGCAGTCAAAAGACGACAGCATTTGGTACTTACTTAGGCAATTCATAATCTGAGATTCAGAAACTTTTTATACTTGCATGCTGGCATGAATTTGCATTAAGACGAACGTCGCTTCATACCAAGCTGTAATGAACAAATGCTCTACTTCCAAAGGTATAGTAGAAATAACTGCCCTCTTTCTTGTTCTTTCATTAACACGCCAGTGTGAAGTCAACAGATACATTATGATGTTTCAGCCTGGGAACTGAGACAGACCAGTTGTTGCTGCCATTCTCTTAACATTATAATAGAAACATTATTGACAGCTTGGGCTTTTTAATGCAGTGTGTACACATGATTTACAACATTAATTATGTCTAGCAATATGAGTACAAATAGAAGGGGCGCTCTGAAGTGCTTTGCAGAGAAAACAGTAATCTAAGGAATAGATGCAGGGTGAAAGTGGGGGAGATGGCAGAGTCAGAGGTTGGTGGTTCTTCATTTGTTTCAGAATTGGGTAATCTATACAAAGATGGGAATTAAGGCTTGATTAGTCTCAATCTGAAAGTTAATTAATATATATATATAGATAGAACATGTGCATGGAATGCATTTGAAGGTTGAGAACAGAGACATGCCAGTATGAATGTAGTTGCCAAGCCACTCTCCATTACATTTGAAAAGTCATGGCAGTCAGGTGAATTCCCTGGTGACTGGGAGAAGGGAAACATCACTCCCATATTTAGGAAGGGTAGAAAGGAGGGCCCTGGGAACAACTGAGCTGTCAGCCTCACCTCTGTGCCTGAGAAGATCATGGAACAGATCCTCCTAGAAACTCTGATAAGGCATGTGGAGGACAGGGAGGTGATTTGAGACAGCCAGCATGGATTTACCAGGGGCACGTCCTACCTGACCAACCTGCACTGAGAATGGCTTAGAGCAGTCCCGAGGAGAAGGACTTGGGGGTGTTGGTTGATGAAAACTCAACATGAGCCACCAGTGTGCGCTTTCAGCCCAGAAGGCCAACCCCATCCTGGGCTGCATCACAAGGACTGTGGCCAGCAGGGCCAGGGAGGTGATTCTGCCCCTCTGCTCTGCTCTGCCCTGGTGAGACCCCACCTGGAGTACTGCATCCAGCTCTGGGGCCTCCAATATAAGGAGGACATGGAGCTGTTGGAGCGGGTCCAAAGGCGGCCACCAAGATGATCAGAGGGCTGCAGCACCTCACCTGCGAG